ACGTTCGCTCAGGTCAAGCTGGCCTCCATCCGGAAGGTTTGTTCAGAATAATATCTGAACGGCACAGCGTATCCGCACCAGTTTTTGCAGAGCCTTAGGCAATTTAATGGTGCATTTCTTGGTGTAGAAATTAGATGTACCTTGTGAGGCTGCTGACATAAGCAATTTCTGAGAGAATCGTTCAATCTGACGCCCAAGAAAGTATTCGACAAAGCCGTTAGACAAAGTCTGAGACAATTCCCTAGTGACTAAAGCAATCAGTTTATGATCACACAAAATTATGTTGACCTATGTTCAGATATGAAGGTCAAATCGAGGTTTGAGTGAAGCCGCTTAGTTGCCCAAAAGCTTACTTTATATGTTAGTTTCTGTTTCCCATTTTGAAATGATTTATAGCAGGGACCGCGACAGAATCTTCCGTGGACACCTTAAAGGTCAGCACAGGTCACTTACCTTAAACGACGTAGGTCAGCATTTTGATTTAAGGAACACACTGTCCTGCATAATCCTTGATACATAGTCAAATATAAAAGTCAAAACAATCCCATGGGTTTTGGTCACCATGACCTTCTAAAGGCCGAAAATGAGCAATGACCTGAGATGAACGCCAGTGAACTTTTGTTTAAAAAAGATACCCAGGTTCAAGGCAGTTGCATGGGGAGGCATGGGGCGTTTTGAACATCAATCTGGAGCTTGACCTTGTTTGCCCTTGACCGGAATGTCATATAGACTATGACATATTTGCTCCAAATTTTGAAAAAGTGAGTTCACAATCAGCTTTACCGACCCGTTGCGCATCCGTGTGTTCTAAAGCCCCTCAGTTTTAAATCATGGGAGATTTTTAGTGAAGTTTACATCTTAACTTTCCCCTCAGCAATTTATTCTTGCCAAGGTCGTGTGCCTAAGGCTAGTCGCGATAAAAGAGCACAATCAGTAAAATGATGCAGCATTTCTCGGAGTAGCTATCGTTTATTTCGTAACCCCATATCGTACCCACGCACATACCAGTAACAGTTCCAAAACCTATACCCAATCTAACCCGTTACCCATACCATATGAGTACCTATAAGTTTACCCAACCCGTGATGTTCCCTACCAGAAAGCTTTCATAGAAGTCTCAAGCAGCGTTGACGGTCTCTCCTCCAACCCTGGAGGTCAGGCGCGTAAGAGCTCCAGAATGTCTCGTATATCAGGCGTAATGTCATCGCTATTTTTTATCCCAAGAGGTCCTTGGACTGTCAGAGAACCCTTGGCTGTTTCGGGGGCATCGGTTGGTCCCAAAAATAGGACTTGGCAGTCCCGCGGTCTTTACCATTCACAGAGGACTCAGTCACATTTGCAACTGTTACCAGTACTAGTTACCAGTCTCAGTTACAACTGCTTGACGGCAAAAAATAGCCGGATCGGTACCAAAGGGTATCCAGTCTCCCTAAACGACATTGGATCCGTTGCAAAAGGCCGCTGGCACTGATGGGGAGGCCATTTGGAGGCCAGCCTTAAGTGCCTGCCAAAAGGGAAGCCTTTGCCAGAAATACGTCCCTTGCAGCCATAAGGGGCAGCACAATTGCCTTGTGGTTATTGTGCTACTGTACAGGGCCTCTGGTAGTCTGAAGGACGCGCCAAGCAGTCGGAGAGGCTCCTAGTGGTGCCAAATGGTCGATGGCCTATAATAAAGGCAATGTCAGTCATGGGCCTTCGCAGGCTCAGTGGACATTTGATACCCCCTCTCCTTCCGACTCGAGAAGATCCCTGACAAATCACACATGGTCCCTGTCAGACTTAATAGGGACCTTAATCTAGCTACAGAGGAAACCTGATCGTCTCGGACCCTCAACCGTCTCAGGAATTTTGCCGACCCAGGTTTCTGATTTTTTCTGGACCCCCAACAGTCTCTACCATATTTCTCTTCGGCAGTTTCACATTTCCGGCCTTCCTGGCGCTCCTGATCGTACCAGGCTGTGTGAAAACAGCTTCTGACTAACTCCTTATTGCTTTTGACAAACATATGACTTAAAAGATTGTTGACCACACACAGACGCAACACACACCGAAAACCTTAACGTCAGAGCTTTGAAGTCACATGTTGACCCGCGAGAGAGGATCCCTGAGGTTGCGGGGGCCTCTGGGGAGGATCAAACCGTGCGATCGTTTACAAAACAGCAAGGACCAACGGATCCATAACTGCCTAGGTGGTCAAGAACGCCATGAAAACAATGGCCATGGGGACGACTCGGGTCGGGGTTGAGCCATGAAACAATGAGGACACTCCTGAGATATGTTACTGCGAGACAGTCAAGGCCACTGAGAGGACTGGAACTTCTGCGCCAGCCATGTGCCCACAAAACGGTCAAGGCACTGAGACAAACAAGGGATCTCTGAGAATTATGGCCCACAAGACGGCCAAGGCTGACAAGAGACACCCGATAACTATGGCTTAAAAAGTCCATGCCCGTTGGGTGACACCCGAGAGGGTAAAAAAGGGAAGTCCATGGCCAAGAGAAGGGTTCTTTTTGTGTGCGTTTCTGTTGATTCTAAACGACATTTGCTTGCAGTAAACCGAGCTTGCCTCGGGAACTGACTGTGAGACGTGCGTGCGTCGATGGTATGGAGAAGCTGACACACGTGGCGTATGTACGTCGATGGCAGGGAAGAGCTGACTTATGTGACGTGTTCGCGTCAATGGCAGGGAGAAGCTGACGTATTTGACGTTTTAATGCCGATGACAGGGAAACACTGTCGTAGGTATGGACGGCGATGACAGGAAGAAGCTGACGCATGCAACGTGTGCAAGTCGATGGCAGCGAGAAGCTGACGTATGTTTGTACGTTGATGGCCGAGAGAAGCTGACGCCTGTGACGTTGCACGTCGATGGCCGGGAGCAGCTGGCATATGTATGCACGGCAATGGTTAAGAGAAGCTGACGCATGTGACGTGTGTATGCCAATGACCAGAAAAAAACACGGCGACAGTCGTAAGCCAGAGCTGGCTGGCTGGCTGACTGCGCCGTTAAAGGCGATCAATCAGTCCACCCATTAAACTCCTGCAGCTTCACGCCGTTCTCAGCGGCCGAGGGCAGCGCACGCACGTCGGACCGCGCTGACAGCCGCGTCTCGATACCGGCGCAGCGACCGCGCCATGGGCTACTTTCACCCGCCGGCTCCACCGTCCACCGTGCACGCCTCGCCGCCGCACGCGCCCACAATGGCCGCTGCACGTGGCGTGGCGCGTCACATTCGTCAATCAACCGCGACCCCCGGCGGCGCGGCGCGGCGCGGACGCGCCGCGTTCGCCGCCGCCTGTGACGATCGTCGACCCCGCGGATGGAGCTGATGGTTGCGGGAGTGTGGGAGGAGGACCGCAATAGGCCGCACGAGTGTCGCTCTATCACCCTTACCTGTGAGAAGGTGCAGCGGTCGTGGACGTAGCATGAGCTATATATATATATATATATATATATATATATATATATATATATATATATATATATACATATGTATATATATATATACATATGTATATATATACATGTGTATATAATATATATATATACTGGGGGAACACGAACGGGTGCAATGTTCTCCAGCTTTTCAGGTGCGTATAAGACCTAGTTTAAGTCGTTAGGCTGAGTACCGCAACAAATTCACGAAAATTAAGCTCAAAGAGGAAAAATGTGTTTCTCGGCTTCTGAGGAGCACGAGATTGGCCCACGAAATGGTCTTTTTCGATCACATGTGAGTCCCGTTTCATAATATCGACCAAACTTTCGAGCGGTTTTATATGCCTGGCTTTGTACCTGTGTTGTGCAAAAGCATACTTGTACAAGCTAGCGACGATACCTTAAATTGTGCAACACTAAGCTGGCTTTGAGAACACCTTCAAGGTACATGCGTTTTATCCTGCACCGTGGCGCGCGTTGCACACCTTCGTTTTGCTTGGCTTCGGAGATACCGTCTCATGTTGCGCGGTAACTCCGCCACCACAATGACTCCAGCTGGTGTGCCAAAGCGCCTCATGCAGCTGCTAGGCTGTGGCCAGTCTGTCCATAAAACATGCTCGAAGACCGGCGTGCGCAGCTTCTTATTCGTCCCGGATGTTTGGCGGAGCGAAAACATTCAAGGCACTGACATTCCTCTGTTAACGCGAGGGCTATGCATCCT